AGGGCTGGGTGGGGAGAGGGAAGGGCTGAGGTAGGGAGGGGAAGGGCTGGGGAGGGGGAGAAGCCCCTGGAAGATGGAGGCTGAGCCCTGGCCCTCTCCACTTTGTGTCACTGCCTCAGATCTGTTTCTCTAATGTTAAAAAAAAAAGTAAAACCAAAATTGCTCCTCACACTGTGGCCAAGTAAAATACTCACAAGTAACTTAAAATGTGAGCCGGTGCCTGTAACTTTAAGTCAGGGGGTGATTGGCTGGCCACAGCTCCAAGGTGAGCAGTGGGTTCATTCTCGCCTTGTCTTCTAATTTAGACTAATAAGAAAGGTGGATGCAGGTCATCGTCCAGATAAGCGCTCCTCGCTCCGTCATTAGCAGCAGCTTTGCTCTATTAATTTCGCAGGTGGTGGAAGGCTGGCCGGCTGTGGATCAGAGCTGGCATGCGATGCCTGCATTGCTGGCTGCCTAGCTCCGCGCATCCGTCCAACCTAAACTTCCTCTCTTCTCCCTTTTCTCCGTTGCTTTATTTCTACCACTATAATTTAATGCAGTGGGGATTTTTCCTTCTTACAAATTACACCCGTTTTATCCTAAGTGGGTTGTGACTTTTAAAGAGATAGCATTGGCCATTACCTCCCTGCAGTAGGCACTGGCGTATAAAATGAAGCTCTCTGCTTGTTACCATAGAAACAGGCCTGATCAGCACTCCCGGGCCTGGCCCAGCCCCCCCCCCCCCGCCCCCGTGGGCTCCTCCACGTCCTCAGCAGCCCCGGCCGCACAGCCTAGCTCTGCCCCGTGAACCCTGGCCCCAGAGCCGCTGTGCACCTCGCATTTGACGCTTGCACTCTGCGTTTCTCTGTGAACAGTCCTGTGCTTCAGGAATGGGGCCTGCAATGGCTCCGGCCTGCTCCCCACGGGTGGGCCGCAGGCCCTGGGCCTGGGGCGGTCTGGCGGCTGCGTGCACCTGGACTGCCTGGCGGCCGAGGCCTCACCTCGGTGCGGGTGCAGTGGCATCGGCTGGCTCTCCCCAGACGGCGGCCTCTGGTGTGAGTGAATGGCCAACCTGACTGACCTGCACAAACCTGTCCAGCTGAGGGCCCCGCACGGCCCCCGCCTTCAGCCCTCCAGCTGCCTCTCTTGGTCTCCTGGCAGACATCGGAGGGGCAGTGGACCTGAGCAGCTCACTCCAGTCAGGAGACCGACCTGTGCGCCCGCCCAGGAGTGCGTAAGAGCCAAACGGGGGGTGCCTTTTAAGCTGGTCTTTCCCCTTGGGGGTGAGGGTGGCTTCTTCAACATCCTTTAACAGCTAAGGTTCCCCAAAAGCCCTCTGCCACGGGGAGCAGCTGCTGGCAGGAACCAGCCGGAGCACGTCACACGTCACCAACAGCTGCGCCGGTGGCTGTGGACACTTGGTCTGGAGGCTCGAGTGTGGCAGGGTTGATTCTGGCGCGTAGGTAAACAGGCTTCTTCTGTCGTGGAGTAGTAGAACTTTTCGCTTTTTAATAATGCAACAAAAGGCCAAAATACTATCAATTATTAAACTACAGTTCTGTTCCACTATAGAAACAGTACTGCGGTCCAGGCTGCAGCCGCTTGACTGGGGCACTATCTGGAGGCCTCGCCAGCCTGTCTCATACCCTGAGGCTCTGCTTCCTGGAAAGTGAAACTCAGCTAGGAGAAGGATTTGGAGTTCCCAGAAGGGTGGGGTTTGTTATTCAGATGGGGCCAGCAGCAGGATCTTCACTGGGAAGCCCCAGTTCCAGGGGTGCTGGGACGAAGCTGCTGGCTGACCCCGCGGGGGCATCCTTGGCCTCATCTCAGAATTTGTTTTAGGGCTTGTTGAGCCGATAGATAGCAGAGCTGCAGGTAAATACCGAGCTCCTCCTCGCGATGTGAGCCAGCAGTGGCAGTGAGCCCTCTTCCCGTCATTCCCCTGACCCACTTCTCCAGGGTCTGACCTCTGAACTCACGGGCCAGGGGTGGGGAGAAGTCGCCTTGCCTGATTGACGCTGGGGTTAGAAATGTAGAAATGCAGAAATCTGTCCTTCCTGTTCTGGTCCTGCTCCTTACACACACACACACACACACACACACACACACACACACTCACAACTAAGGCCACAGAGCCCTCTGTCCCCCACTGGGTGTAATATCTGCTTCTTGTGAACAGCCATTAGCTTGTCCATCTGTCTGTCTAACTGAAAAGCAGAGACAGGTCCGGGGCCTTCATGAACAAGCTCTGCTGTTGGGAGATCTAGGCTTAGAACGCCTCTCCTTTACTTACGCTACACTTCTCCCGGGGCCCCTCTGGTTCACCATCATCATATAATCCCTTCTTTGTGTAGCTAGACCATTTGAAATGTGGTTAATGTTCCCCCAATTTGCATTTCACCTTTGAGTATGTGTATTTTCTTAGGGGTTGGGACCAGATGCTCAGTTTCCAGTGTGCTGTTAGCAGCACGCACCCCACACCGCCACCCAGTCCCCAGCAGAGCAGCTGCAGAGGCAGCCGTGGGGAGGGGGGATGCCGGCCTGGGGCCGCAGGGTCTGTTTCAGTGGTCTCCACAGCCCTGCCTCGTCTCACCCCCACACCATTACCTGTTTTCGCTCCTCAGAGTTTAGCAGGAGATAGCGTGGGTCAAACACAATTTTATGTAGTTCTTTCTCCCAAGTAGAAAATGCTGACACCTGGAGAAAGATATTCAATAGAGTTGCATTTAGCATCTGATGCTGAGTCTGGACTCTGCGGAGTGATCAATGGTAAAAACAGAGCATTAAAGGCGCGATGGATTCCAGGATGCCGGCTGTAGAAGCCTACGGGACACGTCAAACCTCCGCGAAAATCATTACTGAAGACATTGGAAGATTTCACTTCTCGACCTGTGACACTTTCCTGCCTGAAACCTTTGCTGTCTGTGTCCTCTGCAGCTGGCCGTGTCTGTGGAGGAGGGCAGGTGAGCACTCCATCTTAACAGACACTTACAAACATTTTCAGAACCATCAGGTTTAAGCAGATAGGCTGGGGTGGCATCAGTCTAATTAATGTTTGTTTTTTTTTCTTTTTACCAACATCTAACCCTATGTCAGATAGGTTACTTTTCAAAGGAAAGCATTTCATTTAACAATAATCTTAGACCTGCAGAATTACTAGGATAAATCTGAGTCTCTGTTGGTGAGTCTTGTCCCTCCACCAGGCCCGGTCCACCGCTGTTGGCAAAAGTCCCTGCACGGGCCGGACTTCCTTTGTTCTGAGGGGTTTTCCTTCCTGTCCCAGGGCCCACCTCTCGCTTTGCCCAGGTCTCCTCGGCCCCTCCCCTCGGACCCTCTGTGACACAGGCCGTGTCCCCGATGGCCTGGTGCTTGGAGCAGCGCTGGCACAAGGTGGCCTTAGGCCGCCCGCTGCGGGGAGCTCTTGTAGGTTCTCAGGGCTGGGCACGGGTCACGGGTTTGGATCAGCCAACAACAGAGCCAGCAAGCGGCCGTCAGCATGTTGTATGTGGGCTCCACGCCATCCTCACAACTCATTGCTGCCCTGGCTCGGGCCTGACGAGAGTCACGCTGGTGCCACACCCTGCGTGCTGCGGGAGCTGCGGGTGCAGCCGCCGTGCCAGGGCTCACGCTCTGCCTCTGGAGATCACAGTGTGTAACTGAACTGAAATGCTTCCCCGGGACATCTGTCCATCTTACTTTCCACGCTGACTCGTGCTGACGTATCTGCAGAGCGGATACTTGGTTTCTCACTCTGTGCCGTGGCCACTGGGGCTCTTTGCTTTGCCTGGACCCCTGGTGCGCTCATGTCCTACCTGAGGGGCACTTCCTCCCTGGCCGTCTCCTCCCAGGGCTCCAGGATCGGCCATCCAACCAGCCAATCAACCTCCCTATCAGAAAACGGCAGTAGGAAATGTCACCTGGGCACTGGTTTGCTGCGACCCAGGCATCCTTGCTTCCAGATGCTCCGCTGACACAGCAGGCAAGGGTTAATCCAGCTCATCCATTGACAGTATTGACTCACAACTGACCACGCCCTGGCCCTGTTCTGGGAGCTGAGGAGTCAGAGGAAGTAAATGAAGACCCTGACACCAGGACACCCGCAGGGGACCCTCGGTCTCTGAAGAGGCTGCTCCGTCACAGCACGCACACCTGGAGGGAGGGGCGCAGAGCACCCCACGGCCCGGCCAGCCCGCACCCCTCCTCGCTCACCATGGGGCCTCGAGGCCTGCTGGGGATGGGCTGTGCCTGGGCCCGGGGTGGGCTCCGTGAGCCGGGAGGAGGACAGGGTCACAGGGGCTGAGCTCACCCCAGCCGGGGCTAGGAGCCTGTGTCAAATCGGAGGGGCACCGGGAAGAGGCTCCCAGGAGGGCCCCGGACGTCATCCTGGATGCAGGAGAGGAGGAAGGTCAGAGAGGACAGGCGGCTAGAAAGTCTACTCTACTCTGTGATGGGCAGGGGCGAGGTTTGAGGCAGGGAGTGGAGAAAATGGTCATTAAACGTTTACAGAATAACTCCACCCACCGTCTTGAGATACTGAGGTGCTTCCATTGTACGGCGTACAGCATGTTCCTAGCGTGGCATCTGCTGTTAGTGGTCAGAACCAAAGCCTTGTCTGTGGGGCTTTGGATGGGACGGGCCCGGCCCTGCTTCCACGCCGTGGACATGGCGGAGGGCTGCTGGGTCTCAGGCATTGGGGCAATGCCCGGTGGAAAGCAGTAGATGGGTACGCCACCACGTTCCTTCAGCCCAGGACGCGTGCCACAGTAGGGGAGGGTGGCTCACAGAGCAGACGGGCAGCTCAGTCCCTGGAGATCAGCTGTGGAGTGTGAGCTTAGCCGAGGGCATCTCTGGGAGCAGTGGGCCTGCCCTGGCCCTGCCCCACAGGCAGGGCGCCTCAGAGCCGCGGCCCAGGCCTCTGCCTTCGGAGCCGCGGCCCAGGCACACATGCGGAAGAGAGCCTGGGCACGCGCACAGCGCTCCCGGACCCCAGGCCCGGCCTGCAGGTGTCCTAGGCTTCTGCTATCCCAGCCACCACTCTGGGGGGTCCCAGGTCCGCTCACTGGGAGGGGCACCTCAACACTCTGCCACGCGGGACTCAGATAAGCAAGTCGTGGTCCTGGGCACAGGCCACACCACATGTTCCTTCTCCCACAGAGCCAGCCAGGGCTGATTTCTGCCGGTCAGCCCTCTGTCGCCATTGCCCATAGGTCTAAACACGGATGACTGGCTTCTCCTCCAGGGTCTCCCTGGGCGGGCTTCCCTTCTACACCCACTCCCGCCCCTTAAGAAGATTGGATAGATTTCGGTCCAAGAAGAACTGACTTCTTCCATTCTTCAGCCTGGAGAGTAGCAGCCACCAGCAGCTCCACAGCAGAGTTCCTTGTCCAAGAGGCAGACAGAGCCTTAGTGACAGTCGCCTCTCCTGGTCCTGCCTTCTTAATGGGCCCTGTCCACGCTCGGGGGGGCGGGGGCCATGATGGCGGTGGCCATTTCAGGGCTCACTTCATCCACACGTCTCCAGAAACCAGGGAAAAATAATCTGTGTTGCTCCAGGGACAATTCGGCTTTGAGACAAGGACTCTATTCAAGTAAGGTGGCCAGGTGATCCCAGAGACGGACACAAGTGTGACGATGCAGGGCTGTCAGCACCCTATGGCCCCCGTCACCGGGTGTCCCCCACCCCGCCGGGCCGGTGAGGGAAGGCTGGGGTGTCACCAGCCGCCCACCCGCAGCATTCCTCCTTCCAACACTGAACATCAAGCATCCTTGAACCATAAAGAGGCTGAGGATCCTCAAGGACAGAGAAAAGAGAATGTCCTGCATTGAGGATATTCCTGGTTCCAAGAGTAGGTGGTTCAGGGCCCTGCAGGGGTGGACAGTCCATGGCCCTATTAGAGTGGACAGTCCATGGACCTGTCAGGGTGGACAGTCCAGGGCCCTGTCAGAGTGGACAGTCTAGGACCCTGTTAGGGTGGACAGTCCAGGGTCCTGTCGGGGTGGACAGTCCAGGGCCC